CAACTCCCGGACCCTCTGCTTCACCACCTCTGGAGTCCTACCTATCCCCATCCGCTCCGACATCCACCTTCAGACCGAACATCACTCCTCTCACCACCCTCCTCCTCCTCACTCCTCATGTCACCTCCACCCTTTCATCCCTCTCCTACCCTATCTCTGTCTGCTCCGATATTCACCTTCAGACCTGACATCATTCCTCCTCTTACCCCTCCTTCTCGTTCGTCTCCTCACTCCTCTTGTTCCATCCCTCTTCCACCAAACCTCTGCCAAGTTACAACCTTCCACTGCAGCCCCATACCCTGTACTCAGACACCGCTCGTACCTTCGCTCTGAGATTCCATCATAGTTCCGACCTCAGACTTTGACTCCACCTTGGCTTAAGTCCATTGCTGTCAGAGTCCGCGCGTCAGTTCGCGCGTAAGAATCTCCCTGGGAAACTAGTCATTGTAAAAGCTGGGGGGCCAACCCAGCTGGCGATAAGGCCTTATATACATGAGTTCTGCAACTCATAAGAGTGCTGCTACATTGGGAACACATGGTAGCCGATAGAGAAGTGACATGAAATAGGAGAATAGATCATGCAGATAAGGGGGCGATAACGGGTGAGGGGTGACACGATAGCGGAAATAGCGCATTGAATACAGCCCGCATTCTAACTACAGCAAATCACATGCAGATATCGGCTTACGGGTACTCAACCTATCCGGATAGGGGTCCGGGCCGGCCGGATAACCGTCCGTGCCCTGACAATTGCATTGGTGACCTCATTCTACATAAACACCATTGTGTCATATCCATACATACCCAATCCTGATCTGACTCCCAGACCCTCTGCTTCACCACCTCCAGAGTCTTACCTATCCCCTTCTGCTCTGACATCCACCTTTGGACCGAACATCACTCCTCTTGCCACCCCCTCCTCTCACTCCTTCTCACTCCTCACATCACCTCCACCCTCATGTCCCCTCCTACCCTATCTCCATCCACTCCGATACTCACCTTCAGACCTGACAATCATTCCTCCTCTTACTCCTCTTCTCATTCCTCTCCTCACTCTTCCCCTTCCATCCCTCTTCTACCAAACCTCCACCAAGTTACGACCTTCCGCTGCTGCCCTGTACCCTGTACTCAGACACCGCTTGTACCTTTGCTCCAAGATTCTGTCATAGTTCTGACCTCGGACTTTGACTCCACCTTGGCCTAAGTCCATTGCATTGGTGACCTCGTTCTACGTAAACACCATTGCCAACATTCCTCAGACTTTCAATCCCACCTCCACAACCTCCAAGCTCCACAGATCATACTCAGTATTTTCGCTGATTGTAATGTATCTTTCGCACTTTCCCCTCATCCTTATTTGGACTGCTGCTTCTCTCCATTTTAGCCAGTTAGTCATCATCCCCACTTCACCCCATCCTCCTGCTGCTCTGGGCTTTGCCCTCCCTATCTCCTTTCGGATGTACAGGTTCTAACCTATGACCTTCAGTGCCGATCCGCTTCCATCATCCCTTTGTCCCTGTTTGGACGCCTTTGTTCCGATTCGGACCCCCTTTGATTTCCTTGTGCTTTCATCTCCCTATTATATACAGGCACTTGTACATACTCGTTTTGGACCTTCAGTCTAAAATCGACCTGAAATGCCCCCTAGAGACTTCCTGCTCACTGCCTCTGAAATTAAGGACCAAATGGACAAACAGCATGGCACAGCACTCCACATGAGTCGCTGAGGCCAAGGTCCCTCCTTGCTAAGTCTCCGGTTCCTGTCAGGGACCGCGCGTCAGTTCGCGACGATAAGGGTGTTCCCGAGAATCCTAGTCGTTGTTAACGCTGAGGTGCCACCCTCAGCGGAGATAGGAGTTATATACATGGGTACCGCTACCCACTAGAGTGCGGCTACAACGAGATAGAAGATAACCGATAGAATGACGACATGAAAAGATAGCTATTCATTCGGATAATCGTAAGCGAGGTGTGGGAAAGGGGTGACATGTGGACGGAAGATAGGAAGCGGGAGCTAAGCGAGAGCTAAGCGAAATTACCTGCGTTCTTCGGATCACTCCAGATCGTCTTACAGCAACTCCCTTCCGGCATAGGGAGTCAGGGTAGCCGGTTAGGCCGTGCCCTGACAGTTCCCCTCTGGAATCGTCCACCCTCGCCCAGTTCTAACAATAACTGTCACAACCCGGCATTCCCTGGAGTCAGACGACCTCCTCCCTGACCTTCTCCCATGCCTGAACACTCCCTGCACACTCCGCTTGCCACCTGTCGCTGTCTAGCCATTTCCCACCACTTCTCCACAACCCCTCTCCTAATTGTTGTTGAATGACCTAGCGGCGCAGAGCGCCGTGACCTTTTGTCCCATGTTTCACCACACCCTGTTATCTCACGGCAAAGGTCATGTTTGACCTTTGCTGTCTTAAACATGTGCTCCTTGTTTGTTTTCCTTTCTCTTTTCTCTGCCCGCAATTTCCATGAGATCTGGCGACTTATTCTCTATTCAGTTCCCTAGCGCTTATATACAGCTTGTAACTATTGCGTGTACTGTAGTTCAAAATCAACTAGAACTTACATCTGTTCCCCGTAAGACCTCTGCCTCTGAAGTATCAGGACCATGTCAAGAACGAGGCACAATGCTCCTCCCTGAGTTGTTGAAGCCAAAATCCCGGCCCACTCGCCTAAGTAGCCTCGACCTTGAGATCAGTGAGGTTATTCCTCACTAAAGCTCGGTCGTGGGTAGGACGCCTGTATCACTAGCGGCCAACATTCAGTCGCCTATGGCTACCATCGGTGAAGCTTTGCACGGTTCTGACAATAACCCAGAAACAGAAAGGACAGATCAGCCTGAAGGTAGACCTGCAGGGAAGGCAACTGAGTGCCTGGCAGAAGTGGGGGTGCACTTGTGGATGTCAGAGCTGTCTGGAGACCTTTGGGGTTCCGCACTTAGGGAGGCATAGGTAATATATTGAAATGAGGGGGTGGTGACCATTGGGGGAGTTGGAGAGGATTGCGGAATCCAGAGGCTCCGAGGTTAGTGATGAAGGAGTGGAGGTAATCTGGAAGGACTGGAGGTGGTGGAGGGTGATGGCCATGGATGGATATGACAGGTGGCCACCGCACACTTTAGTAGCCATTGAATTTCCAACATATACCTCATGTTACACCACCTGTGCCATTGTCTGTAAACCCTTATGTCCCACCCCCTTTTCCTATTCCTGTGCCAGAATGGACAAAAATGGGTACCTCTGGCCCCATTTTTGCAACACCCATGAGGATGAATATCAAGGATTTGTTGCTGGATATAGTCTCCCATCAAAGAACAGATGCAAGAAATATAACATCTTGAGTCAATACCTGCACATAGTTGTGTGTAATGGAATGAATCAAGATGTGTAACTGTCAGGGCATGCCTTCAGGTCACTAGCATAAGTAGCGTATTGCCACATGACCCATATTCCCATCAACTTCTTCTTTTTCACTTCTTCATCTCCAGTTTGATCCGGTCTGCAGCTGTCAGTTATGATGCTGCATGATCTTCTATCTTCTTTGATCCATTGCTACCAGTTATTAGTTAGTTGCCTGATAGCTGTCTCTATCATGTACATAAGACCTTGTGCTGGTGTGGGCATGTCCCCCAGCTGTCAGGGCCTGGCCTCGGACTCGGAGGCTCCCTGACCTCAACCCCCATCTGACCTGTCCTCACACTATGCAGGGCATGAGATGTATAGTAAAAGAAAGTGAAATATATACACTTGCCTATGCAGGGCATGAGATGAGAAGAAGGGTAAAGGTCTCATCTCCCTGCATGGTTGCTATATAAAGGAATGGGTCACATGCCCACAACTATACAGCTCCTAGAGTTGTGTAGTGTGACCCAGATGGGACATCCAGGTGGCAGTGCCCAGTAAGCATGGGAATGTTCTGGGTGCCCAGAATTGTGGCTGTGACCCATGGGAGCATTCTGGGTGAGCTGCTCGCTCAGAAAGTTCCCATGCTATCCCGTGTGCGTGTGTACACAACACACAAAGGCAACAACAAGGCAACAATCAAAGAATAAAGGGAGTAAAGTAGGTGGGGAGTCCAGGGCACCCTAAGGCAGGTGCTGAACCCTGACACCAGCTTTGATATCAACTAGGTTTCTGGGGCCTTCTTTGTTGCGAGCATGCATGACCCTGACAGTAACTTAGGCATGATGGAATGCTTAGTAATTGTAAATTATAAAGCCCCCAGGCAAAAGCATGAGCCTAAGTGTCAGGGAACAAATGTCAGTTTGTGCTAATGGTGGTCCCAGTAAACTAGTTGATAACAAGAGTGAGGGACAAACCCACTTGCTGCACTCCTGTATATACATAGAGACTGTATGGACTACCTAATCAATACAGTGGAGCTCAGATCAAATTGGATTGGCTAGATCAGGCTGATTGGAAACATTGGGATGATTAGATCTCTCCAGAGTGATGGAGATTGGGTCTGTTTCCCACATGCTACCATCAGCACAGACCTGAAGTGGTGCTCTGATACTAAACCCTGAGCTTTATGTTCCTCACCTTCACCACACTAGGCCAGTGGCATCAGACTACTCCAACAGGGCACCCCTTCCTCTCACTCTCAGCTCAAGCCTTCATCAGGAAACCTTGAAGGCTGGATTGAGGTGATTGCAGTGATTTTAATTCAAAATTTTGAATTGGTCAGGATCAGCAAGGGTTTTCCGATTCAAATTTTTGAATTAAAATCACTGCAATCACCTCAATCCAGCCTTCAAAGTTTCCTGATGAGTTTTATTCTAAGATGTACAGGACCCTAACAGCCAACACATTCTGGTCTCTGGATGCCTTCAAAGTCAAATTCCAAAACCAATTGCATGCGTGCCGATCACATATCAAATCAGCACTACTAATATTTAGCACTTGATGGTGTGACCTGGGTTGGTGCATGTGTACTTAGGTCCATTAATAGGTGAGTAGTTTCTCATTTTGTGGACTACCTGCCCGTTTCTGAAAGTCACAATGCGATTCTGGAGTGCCATTGCCTCAATCGCAATACTTCCCATCGTCGCGGCTGATTTCTACACTGCTTTGGTCAATTGCAACACTAGTCAGAGGCTGGAAGTCGATTGGGCCATCGTCGCTGCGAATGTCATCCCTGGGTCTCTAGGTAGGTGAACCAAACCTAAAACGGAATTGGCTCCTGCTCTTAACCTATGTTTACCTAACAGGCGCTTGCGAAGATATAGTGCAGGACTGGATCGTTGGTGTTATTCACATTGGGGGAGTGACAATCGGCTCGATTTGCGGCACGCACATCTTAGTGGATGGGACCTGGGACAACTGGTATACAGCTGGACACCGCGGAGAATGTTTCAAAGGTGATGGAGGCACGAAATGCAGTCGTGTGTCGGACGGTGCGGAATGCCAATATTCGGTCGTGTCGAATTGCACCGGCGCTCCACCCTTCTGCGATTAGCACCAGGATCTGGTGGAGCAGGCGGCAGCCCATGTAGAATACTTAACGAGGCCGGAGCCCTGCCAAGTGGAAATTACTGTGTGCGTGAATGCATCTGCATCCAGAAGCCGCGTCAACAGAAAGGGTGCGAAGGCAACGGAGACGATAAATCCGTCAACTCCTGAGGACAATCATTTTCATGGCGAGGGAGGGGGTTCCCTGTTCGAATAAACAACTTCGACATCGTATATGAGGAGAGTCAAAAATTTCCGGAGGACCCGGGAGCGAAGAGCCCATTCCCCGAGGGGAACCGTGCATCCCCTGTTCTATGCATAGACCAGTACTACGCTCTCCCGTTCCGACAAGGGGCACTTTGAATGCATGAAGGGGAAGAGGCGAAAGCTTCCTGGACTAGATAGCCGCGGAACAAGGATATGGCTTAGAATATCCATAACACCGTGTCTGGTATCCATAGCTTATCTATTGAGCTTTCGCTATCTTAGTAGCTCACATCAAGAGCACGTCCCCTGAGTTGGGTCAAAGGCAGAAGAACTATGTACTAGCAGTGGATTATCGCGCCAGGCAGTATGGAGGAGGTGAAGGAGTGTACCCACAGTGGTTGATTCCGAGCTAAACTACGAGCGACTGAAGCAGGAGTCTGGATTTAGATTGGTGGAAACAAAGCAAAGTACTCAACAGTGCAGAAGAACTGCATGGGATTTTAAGACGCCTATATACGATCATGATTGAGGGACCGTATATATAAGTGACGACGAGAAAACAGAGAGTGGCGTGTAAATATCAAAAGCTCGCATATGGGTGGGCTAGTTGGAGTGGTGGCCAGCTGTGCAGAGGAATGGGAATCTTCAGTTTGCATGACCCCCAACTGAGCCAGTTGGTGCCTCAGAGCGTGGAGAATACTTGTCTGTCTCAGCTCGGACCCTACAGTTGTCCATAATGAATATACTGCCTTCCACAGCTAGTAAAGCCTTATATGGACTTCGGATAAAAACGTTGTCCGTTTCCCTAGCTACGGAGTCGCAGCGAACACCCGAGCGCCCAAAATCTGAGAGCGATCAAGAGTTGACCGCACAGCAGCACACAGCCCTTAATCATCCTTGGATCAGAGTTTCGGGGAATGGCACGGTGGTCGATGGGCGGCAGGAAAGGTTCGGACCCAACTGTCATGCAAGGACAGAACCGCGTGCTGTTAGTCCATTCCTGGAGGGGTTTTAGGCGCAGTAGACGGAAAATGGAAATGATCATGAGCTAGGAAACGCGCCACTGCTTGTTTTTTTTTTCTTGGCCGTCCGGTAGTCAGTCAGTGTGACGTAATGCACTAGGATGGCGTGCGCATACCTTGTACCAATTGGAAGCGGCTGCACGCGCGCTTACGCATGGGCTTAATGTGGAGATCGGTTTGAAAAAACTGGAACGGCCCTTCTTGGGGTATAAAGGAGTTGTCTATGCAGTGACATTACGGACACGAAGCCACAAACTCCCATCTATATATGACCGAAATTTGAATCTCGGGACAGGCTTTCAGATCCGGTTACGTCTCCCTCTGGCTCCATCAGGGTGGTTTAGGATTGGAGTGAGGTCACAAAGAGGCAAAGCGACAGTTCCAACGTCAAGAGTTCGATGCAGGCACGGAAAATGGGCTGCGTAGTATGCATGACGGTGACGACGACAGAGCTAATGTAGGTGCTCGGGTAAGTGAAATGGGGAGATGTTCTCCGAAACGGAGGCTGGGAAATCCCGCGGTTAAACCGAGACTGGGAACGAAATCGGAAGGGCGTGTGTGTGTGTGTGAGTTTTGGATATTTAACGTGCACGTGTAGGCTGCTCGAATAAGGCGCCAAGGTAGCCTCTCTTTAACGGGAAGAGAGGCTGGTTTCACTTGATGGGTTGCTGAATGTCGGGTCTACTGAATTGCAAGAAAAGGGTTTACCCAAGGTTTTTCCGAGATGATGACATGAAGGAATTGCGTAACTCGAGGAGGGTTGTTTGTTTGTATTCACCTTTTGCCTCAGCGCATATCTGATACATCACGACAAAAATCTCTAAAATCTCCATGTAAAGATTATTTTCTAAATCGCCAAATACTTACACTAATAATCCAATCCTACCACAACATAGCCATGCAAAATGAGAATGCAACACCCGGTAGCTTACCACAGCGGGGCCGACCACCTTCCACTGAGCGCAAAGTGTCAGCCTCGACTCATCCACATGTCACCATTGAGCCGCTCTCACCGTCCAAGAGGGTCAGAGTGAATGACCACCGATCATTGGATCCAACAATGCCCTCGATGAATTCTGGAACTTTCGGACTCGGCTTTGGAACTCAACAGTCACCACCCCCAGCGGCATTCCCTACCCAAACCTCGGGCTCCTACACATGGTACCCTAAGTCTCCTTGGTCTACGATGTTGCCCAGTTCAGCTTCAGCACCTAACCTCATGTCCGACTATGGTGATCGGCCTATAACTATGTGTGAGGTCTGCGGAAGCTCGAGGGTCAGTCGCTCAACCCGAGCCGAACAACATAGAAAGCAGCACCTAGCTAGAAAAGTGGAGGTTGTCTTTGAAGTCTTGCGCGCTCAGCAGCTCACAATTGGGGACTGCTTGATGACCATCGTGGACCAGGATGAGCTGCTCAAGAAGGACATGAGCCCTTCCACAAGGACCGAGATAATGTGCTTCCTGCAAGGCCAGAGGAAGTCAAACCGACCGTTAGATTTTGTACGCGCGATTACCAAACACCCAATGGCTCGCTATGGAAGAAAGGACAGGCCAACGCATAGTGTACCTTCATATGGAATCCCAGTGAAGTTCCCCCAGTCCGAGGAGAATGTGAATGTGCCATGTGTCAGGAAGTCGCGAGTATTTACCGATAGCTCATTTGAGGCACTCCAGAAGTATTTTGTTGAGCAAGTTATCGAGTGTGTTCAGTGGGAGACCGGACAGCTACAAAGGGAGCCGTCATTACGCAACCTGGACAATGAGAAGCAAGGCTTCTCATGGGAGACCATAAACGAGTTCTCTGTGGAGGAGACACAGCGGGTGATGATGACAAGAGCGCCAGTCATTTGGACAATATTAACAACAATTGCTGTTGGCGATGAGAGGGCGATGTCGCTGAAGGGACATGCAGCAAGCGGGAAGAGAGATGGGAAAGGTTCAAATCATGTCCGAGATCCGTGCCTTGTGAGTTCGATTTCATGATGACAAAATAAAATAATGGATCCACGCACATTTGTTATTTTCCTAGGGTTGTACCATTGCACTATGTATGATGTTGAGCTTTGGGAATCAGCGAATCAATCGCATTCAATCGATTCTCGGCATGTTGATGTTTGCGACATCAGCAAAAAATTGTTATCCTCCTGAGTGCTCCGGAGTATGGGGAGCACTGGGAGAATCAGGAGGAGATTGGCTGGTCCAGGAACAGCTCATTTCCTCTGGAGTTGGCCAGGTACTCCAGGGCACTCCCAGGAGGGCATGGAGCATTGCTTTGTGCACAAACATGTCCAGTAAATACAATTTAAATGCTTCAAAGTCTATAGGGGTGAGAAGCTTCTGGGAGCTCCTGAAGCATTTGAAAATCAAAAGGAAAAAAGAGGGAAGATTCCCATGAATACCTCCTACCACAAGGCTAACACAACAAGACACTGCTTAACATTTAGATCAAGCACTATACTATATATCAAGGACACTGAGACTCACCAATACACAATCAAAATTTATGGCCTGATATATGATTAATCTGGCAACTTAATCACTTTTGGGCTTGCAGAATATGGAGGAGGGGAAATGGGGGGAAATGAAGGGGGAAATGAGGGGGAAATGAGGGGGGAAATGAGGGGGAGAATGAGGGGAGAATGAGGGGGGAATATAGAGGGAAATGAGGAAAATTTGAAAAATAGGGACTTCTAAAAAGTTGAAAAAAAAAATAATTAGGGAAAAAATCAAAAGAATTCAGGAACTGTAGTGCCTTTGAAGTGCTTTCTGTCATATCCATCCCCGGCCATCGACTTCCAGTCCCTCCGATCCCTCCGGTCTAACTCCGCTCCTCCCTCACTAACCTCGGAGCTCCCATATTCCGCAATCCTCTCGGTACCCCTCGATGGTCACCACCCCCTCATTTCAATTTATTACCTACACCTCCCTAAGTACGGAGCCCCGAAGACTTCCGGACAGCTCCGACGTCCGCTAGCGCACTCCCGCCTCCGCTGGGCAATACACTCGCCTGCCCTGCAGAGCCCACCTTCGGGCCTATCCCTCCTTTCCGTTTCTGGGTTGTCGCCTGCCTTTCCGCTAACCCCGCGACCCGACTCGTCGGTAATATTCAGTTGGCTAATGTTTAAACCCTGTTAGCTCCGCTCCATTCGGCTCCGCCAATTGCGGACCCGTCTTTGCTGTAACCATATATATATCCCACTTGTACATAGGTTACACCCCAGTAGTAAAATCAACTAGAGTTACCCCCCCTTCAGTTCTGATTGCCAGTCAGTAAGTTAGGGCACAGACGTGTCACTAGGCACAGCGCTCTTGGCAGAAGTCACTGAGGCCAAAGCCCTCCGCTATGGAGACACTCCCTCGTCTCGAATCTGGTCTCTGACACTTTCAGGATATATAATTATTTGCGAAATTGAGGAAGAAATGATGGAGAAAAATGGAAAATACTTTCGGAGACCCGAGAAATAATGAGAACTGAATTGATGGGAAAGTCTGAAAATTGAATAGGAAAGTGAGGGGAAGCCTTGTAGCATTGTTATTTTCTGCTGTTCTAATTTTTCCTGATTCTTCTTGGTCTCACTCCCAGCCGCTCCTGGATACTCCTGGATACTCCTGGAAGGGTCCAGGAGCAGCTAATGGAAAATACTTTCAGAGACCCGAGAAATAATGAGAACTGAATTGATGGGAAAGTCTGAAAATTGAATAGGGAAGCCTTGTAACATTGTTATTTTCTGCTGTTCTGATTTTTCCCGATTCTTCTTGGTCTCATTCTCAGCTGCTCCTCAATACTCCTGAAAGCTCCTGAAAGCTCCTGGGAGGGTCCAGGAGCAGCTGGGAGTGAGACCAAGAACAATCAGGAAAAATCAGAACAGCAGAAAATAACAATGCTACAAGGCTTCCCCTCACTTTCCTATTCAATTTTCAGACTTTCCCATCAATTCAGTTCTCATTATTTCTCGGGTCTCCGAAAGTATTTTCCATTTTTCTCCATCATTTCTTCCTCAATTTCGCAAATAATTATATGTCCTGAAAGCACTTTAAAGGCACTATAATTCCTGAATTTTTTTTTTGATTTTTTCCCAAAATTCTTTTTTTTCAACTTTTTAAAGACCAAAATTTTCCTCCCACTGCTCCTGGCACATTGCATACTCCTCACCACTCCCAGCTGCTCCTGAACCCCCTCCCAGGAGAACACTATTGGCTCCAGGAGTGCCCAATCTGCTGTTTTGTCTCCCACATGCTCCAGCCACTCTTGATGCTCTGGAGCATAACGGACTTTTGCTGATGGACGAACACCAACCAAACAACAATTTCAATTTTGAGTCGAATTGGTCTCATTGTTGCACACAGTACGACTCACAATCGACTTCACATGGCAGCTGAGGGTGCATCGGCAAATCTAAAAGCACTAGGGCACCAACTGGTGGAAAACAAAGTTTCAGTTCATCTGGTCTACAACAATCTCAATCAGTACCGTTGTTTATGGCGCCCATCACTCGACAGTTGCACATCACTAGAAAGTGGGACCACTGCAATGCTCATTATCCAGCATGATGTGGCAGAGGGGGCCTTTGACGGGATTGAATATGAACGACAGCGAGCCTCAGTCCGAAGGGAACGGATCACTTACGAGAAGATCTGGGGTGACATCCAATTTGACCATCTAGCCGCAATTGGAGCCACCAATATCCTTCGGATCCTTCTTGAATATCTTCCTGGCCTCGAACGACATCGTGGTGCTGTTCAACATTTGTATAGCCATCATTTTGCAAAGCATCCTGTTGTCAGGGCACATCTTCGGGTCGTTAGCATAAGTAGCACAGTGCCACATGGCCCGTATCCCCATCAGGTTCTTCTTCTTTTCCGCTTCTGATCTTCTATTTGATCTGGTCACACGGTATCGGTTATGATGCCGTGTGATCTTCTATCATCTTTGATCCGCTTCTACTGGTTATTAGTTAGTTGGCTAGTTACCATCTCTACCGTGTACATATATATCCTTTGCTGGTGTGGGCATGTCCCCCAGCTTTGCTATCAACTTGGTTTTGGGGGCATCCTTTGTTGTGAGCACGCACGACCCTGACACCTGTCAAGATTCAGAAGACTGAGTATTACCCAATGGAGACCAGTTCTTATGATGAAGCGCAAAATATTGGGAATTGAGAAGTTCTAAAAGACCTCTTGGTGTGCCAACTTGGAGTCAAGCCAGAGGAGTTGGATGGCCGGATGATTTCCATATCTGGTGATTGCTCAACCCCTGCAAAGCTCCGTTCCCTCAAGCGACATACATCTTGTGGACTTTCCTGGTTTACTTCTCAGAGATTTGCACTTGTATTGACGGAATTATGGCACATGAGCAGACTCGTACCCAGTCGTTTTCGCTCCGTGGACGCATGCAGAGCACTGCAATGTGGAAATGTAACTAAGTAACTTTTGTATTCAATGTAAAGTCACGTTCTGCTTTCAATACAAAGAGTCACATGCTATGGGGATAAACTCAAGTCCGATCACCTACTCCGAAAATTTGCGTGCGACACTTCGCTCTAACGACTGGTACACATTGGCAGTGGCAGTACACTTAGGCATTTGCTGAATTTGCCACCCGATCCCTCTTGAGCCCACTTACATTGCCTTCCAAGCTTGCACTCTCAGATTTCCTCATGCCTTCCTCAGAGAGGCACACACACTCAGTCTGGCCACCCCCAGTTGATTTCATCATAGCTAAGAGTGAGCGGGAATGGAAGAAGCGAGCATGCCACTTCCAGGCTGAAATTGTGCATTTTTTGCTTTGGAAGCCTAAAAAGGACTTGGTTTCTACTGCCGCTACAGGAAGTGGAAAAACATATATTTTCTTCCTCCCCTCCTTGTTCAAAGAAGAAAAAGGTGGTGTCACTTTTGGAATTGTGCCTCTAAAAAAACTTGGTGACCAGCACAGAGATAGTGCACAACAATTGGGATTGACTGCCATATCGCTTGAAGCACAGACAATTAATAAGGAAGTTGTCAAGGTATGTAACAGTGAAGACACATACTTTTTTGATCATAACTCATTTCGCCAAATAGGAGATTGAAAGCTTGGCATATAATTTCGTTTTTCTTGGGCCTGACTTGCTTCGAGGGGCACTCTTGAAGCCGCTGTGGAGGAACAAAATTTTTGTTAGCAATATAAATCGCATTATTGTGGATGAGGTGCACTGTGTGGCCCAGTGGTCATCTTTCCAAGCGGCATACAAAGAGCTAACATGGCTCTATGCATACCTCCATCACCGATGCCAGTGGTACCTGACATGTTATGGAAATGGGAAATTTCCCAATTTAGACTCTTATGGGCCCTGCACACACCCAAATCACATGATATGTAAATAATTAGAGTTTATCCAATTATTAACCACCTAAACTACCACTTGTGAAAACATCTGTTAAACCATATGTTAAAATATCTGTAAAATCGCATGAGCTCAACCTCTACCCCCTTCCCTCTTCCTGCACCTCGAATGGACGAAAATGGGCGCCTCCGGCCCCATTTTTGTAACATTGATGTTATGGAAATGGGAATTTCCCATTTTAGACTCTTATGGGTTCTGTATCATGTGATTTATATAGTAATATAGTTTAACGAATCAATAATCAACCAAAAACCCGCTGTGCTAACATCTGTTACACCACATGTCAAACCATCTGTGAAACCACCTGTAAACCATTATGTCCAACCCCCTTCCCTATTCCTGCGCCAGAATGGACGAAAATGGGCACTTCCGGCCCCATTTTTGTAACATGACATCCGCAACGTTGGATGCCAAGACATGTTCTCAAGTACTTGGGCAGGTTGGCATGGCTCCATGGATAAGCCCAAGTGGTGGCAATGGGACCACATGGCTGCGTCGATCTAATGAACGGCCAAATCTCCATTATTGTGTGCAGGAAATGGAGTATAGTAAGAGTTCTTACTATGACCTTGCTTTCCTCATTCCACTTCACCTGGAAGAGTCACACCCGATGCCAGAATCGTTTGTTGTATACTGTAATTCTCGTGATGAGGCCAAACGCAGTGCAGAATTCCTACGATCACGAGTCTGTAAAGCACTCTGCCACAAAATCATTTGGATCCATTCTGGAATGTCTGATAAGCACAAGCTGAAAGTGGTGGAGGACTTTAGGGATGGGAAGCTTATCGGCATCACCAGCACGGAATCACTTGGATTGGTTTGACCTCAGGGTTTAATGCATTGTACAAATTCTAATGCCATCCCCATAGGGCCACGATCTGCACAATGTCACACGATTAGTTCAATACTGCCCACCTGATAATCTAAATACCCTGACTCAGTGGTTCAGTCGTGTGGCAAGGAATCCAGACATCCATGCAATCGTCATTCTCCTTGCCCCAAAAAGTTATTTCGAGAAGAACCGTTGACGACAGGATGAAAGGGCCCAGAAGGCTGCAGAGTCTCGCAAGCGTAAAGCCGATGCACAAGTGCAGGAAGCTCAAGCACCCAAAAGAATCTGTGGTCCAAGCTTGGAAGAGAACATGGCATTAATGGACCACAAATTTGATGAAGTTCATCAAGAAAACGATTTGGACTTAGCTGACAAACTCCTCCAACTGCATGATCTAATTGATCCTGCCCAACTACCCCGACCAGATGTTTGGCCATCCAGTGACTTCGATGCTCCAGACAATGCCGAGTTTGATAATGCCGAGGTTGATGAAGAACAGATACAGGAAACAAATCAAGGTGCAATACCAGAACATAACACAGAGGTTGGAAGTCCGGACACGGATGGTGAATGAAGCCGCATTGACACAGATGTCACTGGGATGGTGACCGAAGATGGCCTGGCTGTTGGAACTGGCAAGTGGAATAAGGATGCATATGCTTGTCAGCAAGCTTCCTATTGACAAGATGAACGAATTTCATGCAGTCGATACTACACCCAACTCCTTAGCCACTGTTGGTGAATCAAACGCCACAAAGGGTCAAGCGAACTTTAAGAAGCGCAAGACAAATCAAACAAGAGGGATAAATAGTATGAATGTAGACCCAGGGATAGATGCATTTGTGAATGTGGATTACCTCCCCTCCAGCGACGTTCGCCATGGTTGTTGACGTAAGGTGTTGAGCGCCCATTTCGGGAATGACCGTAATGGTATGAGATTCGCCAATTCACAATAGTCAGATTTTCACACCCCTGTCAACAGCAAAAATTCCGCCATGTTGCAAGCGTTGCAACATCAGTGAACCCCCCACTTGTTGTGATCTCCACAATCCAGAAGTCACTGCAGGGATGTTTCAGGCTGAACTGGAGGGGCCTCTGCCCAAATTTCATTTCCAATATGTGAAAAGCAAGTATGAGCAAGATTTGGCCAAGTCCAAGGCACTCATTAACTCCCTTTGTGCGTGGAGCTCCATTGAGTTCTCACAGCGGTACCCAGGGTGACAGGATGATCTGCTCATCGGTGACTGGGTCATTCTCCCAGACAAGATCATCAACGATATTGTCTACTTGGCACACAAAAACAAACTCGCAACACAAGAAGAATTTGTGAAGTTGTTGATTGGCACGACGCCAAGCACTATGCCCCAGCACTTCTCTCATTAATTCATGCTGTATTCCCCCCCCCCTCCCACGCCACCACACTCTCTGATTCATTGTCCAACCCGACCCTTACCACTGCTGATCAGTTGGAACCGGTCACAAGCAGTGATCCTCAGCCATCCAGGCGAGTGCGCAAGCAAATTACTTGCTCCAACTGCCAAGGACATGGCCATAATAGTGCGTCCCCATTGCGTCAATTGCTTGCATACAAGGTACTAAACAATAGAATCTGCTAACTTTCAGCACGATCTTGTGGGCTCGGCCAGTGTGGTCACTGTGGGGAAAAGGGACATGTTAGTAAGTCACCGTGTTTAACTTTGCTTATGTCTAGTTGGACTGATTTCCTACTGCATCCAGAAATCCATTGTCCATCATTATCGAAGAATAAGGAGAATCAATCGAGTAGTACAACAGCAACATCACCAGCGACCCGACAATGGCCATGATTAGGTGGCTAAGTCTGGTGAGTCAATTTCATATGATCCCATCTCTTGATCATCCGCATCTTCCATCGATCCCCACACTGATTTCCTTGCATACTTGGCAAGACCTTTCTGATAATGATCCATCACAATCACCCCTGCTTTCCTTCCCTTCACCTTTCTATGTGGCCGAGTATTCCACAATCCATCACTCATAGCCTCTAACCTAGATCGCATGTCTGGGTCAGTGTGGCGCATGGTCTTATCGGGTACACAGTAATCATCCTCAATTTCCTCAATGCATGATCGATATGCTTGAATGATTGATGACTGACTGATTATATATTGGATTGTTTTTCCAGGTCCGGACCCTGCATACACGACCTAGAAGACGCTTACTCCTTTCATCAACTAGATAGATTGGTATTAGTATTTCGCACCTTTGTATATAAATTCATTAATGTCAGGGATCGCTCGTCAGTCCGAGTCGAATATTGCCCGAAAACCTAGTCGTAGACAAAGCTGAGGTTCCAACCCTCAGCGGCACATAGAGCTATATACACGAGTGACATCAATCAATCGGAAGAGATAGGATCAAAGGAACTAAACAATGATCCGATAGAAAACGAAGTGAATAGAGATGAAGGAACACTCGGATCAGGGGGCAGAGTCGGATCAGGAGAAGGTGAGGGATTTACGATATATGAGGGCCGATGCGGCTACATGCGGTGATATAGTCTTACGCGATATCGATAGGGTAACAGAGAACCGCTTACGCTATGTCCCCTGACAATTAATTCCACCAGCCAATCTATCAGTCGGAACCCACCCTTCCTTCCGGATGGATTACACAACCAGCATTTTAGGACGGCTGCTCACAACGCCTCAGGATACTGCTTCACTCTAGCAAGGAATTTTGCAAGGTACGAAGCATACTTATGCTTCCCACAGCTCAACAGGATTGGAATCCACACGGCAAGGACGTCAAGAATGATATCAACCATGCCATAGTTGATTGCATGAACGAGGATGCGGTAATACATTGCATCACAGTTAAATAATACTTGGTTATTTCGTACTTGGTCTTGTTCCATATCATGACGATGACGTTCATGTAAGTGGCTGGCCTGAAACTGTTTGGAGGCAATGCTCTGAGCGTGATGTTTGATATCATCCAGGGTTGGGTTGGACTTGAGGAATCCCGCAATGTCCCCACCCATGTCTTCCTTCCATGCATTGAGTATTGCAACACGGAGAATATAGTCGATCCCATCGTTCATCATGCGGAAGGGGGGGACTTTCTGATTCAGCTTGGCAGTGTTATTTGGAAAAAGGGTCATAAGATATTTGTAAAGCCCATTTGGGTCATTACGCATTCCCGGTGTTGAACCATGGATCCGGTTAATCGCATCAACACACGCCATTCGTATGTGAAACAGTCCAGGTATTGGCAAGAGAAAGCCTAGCCGCTCATACCAATCCTCCTCGATTCTCCTTGAGCGCATTATAGTCTCGATCTTCTCTATAACACCAAGATCTCCATGCACAAGAACAACGTAGTTCTCAAAAATCGCGTCCTTGATTATCCTGCTCTGTTCCAGCAGGGATGCGATGGCTTCAATGTTGCCATCTATTGTTGAGGCTTTAGCATACATCGCTTCAGCAGTTGTGTATGATGTTTTTTCGGGGTGAAGCTGGAACTCATATGGTGGTTCCCCAAGTCCTGATCGTAGTTCAGGCAGGTATTCCTCAATGAATGTCGACACGATATGCCATTGACAATGTTAAAGAAATGGGTTGAGGGTAACCCACATCTTTCCGTCCTTATAGACGACTTAGAATTGTCCACCTCATGTATGTAGGGCGGTTTAGTCGTGCAATTAGAATTATCCGATGGCCGTGGAGCTTTTGACAGAAAGCTGAGACCTCGTGGTGAACGGGAGCCTGCTACGACGGATACTTGGCGCTCGTTACGTGAGCATACCGTGCGCGGGTGTATAGGATCACAGGTTGAGAGAACATCCTGAACGAGACTAGTCGAGGACATAGGGCTAGCGGGTACTTGGCGCTCGAGGGAGCGTACCGGTAGCGAGTGAGATAGCGACTCCTTGAGGGAGCTTCCTGAGAATCGATTGACGGGTACTTGGCACCCAATTGGGTGTACCGGCAACGAGTGATGTTCCAGCTCCTTGAGGGAGCTGCCAGAGGCTGGGTTGACGGATACTTGGCGCCCAGTTGGGCGTACCGGCAACAAGGTATGAGACCGTTCATCTGGCAGACGGTCTGTATATGTGTCAATGGATACTTGGCGCTTGTAAGAGCGTACCGGTGACAGAGGAGTTAGTCGTTCGTAGGTCGAACGACATGTGGTGGGTTCGATGGCTACTTGGCACTCGCGAGAGCGTACCGGCGACGAAGGGAGTGGGCTTGTATCAAATACCCATACGTCCATAGAGTTAACCAGATGCTCACCGTAAGGTGAGACAGACGCGGGCCCAGTACCTGGGCGAACGACATGAGTCGCAGCAAAAGGTGATCACGCATACCTGAGTTGAGTCACGCACGAACTCGATGATCCGTGGCTAGAGTCGTCAACCTTGGCAGGGATGACCCATATAGACGATGACCGAGACATACACAATCTTACACAGACGATACAGTGTTGGCACAAGGAGGTTTACAGTTGTTGCACAGCAGAGGGTGGTGTGTTATTCGTTAGGTTCCGTCTTTTCAGCTCTTGCCGTACATAAACGTGACGCTAACTATTGAATAAGAAATGATCGCAAGAAATCTCGTGAAATAGAATAAATATTCCGGCCAGCACCAAAACCCGATAAGGGAAAGCTTAGCACGGAGTGAACGTGTAGAAAGGGGGGTAGCGGGGAGAAGGTAACAAAGAGAAGGGAAGATATGGAGAAGGAGGACCCGCCATGGTGGATGTTCAGTTGACACGGTCGCGAGAGACTCCATTCCTGTAACAGACAATGTTCCTTCAGTCGCTGGCCTGCAGACATTTTGGGGAAAATATCCTCATATGTCGTTGTTACAAAAATGGGGCCGGAAGCACCCATTTTTGTCCATTCTGGTGCAGGAATAGGGAAGGGGGTTGGACATAATGGTTTACAGGTGGTTTCACAGATGGTTTGACATGTGGTGTAACAGATGTTAGCACAGCGGGTTTTTGGTTAATTATTGATTCGATAAACTTAATTACTATACAAATCATGTGATACAGAACCCATAAGAGTCTAAAATGGGAAATTCCCATTTCCATAACAGTCATACCTTGGAATGGATTAATTCCTAGTTCATTGTTAGGGCTCCGCTCCCACAAGTATTTTGCATACTCAAGATCTATGGGTAGTACACCATTGTGCATGTTGAGGAACAGTCCGGTAGTGATACTTCATCACGAAAATCGGACTGGCGCTCCCACATGGTCCAGATGCTCCCAGGTGCTCTGGAGCCTCCGGAGTGCTCTGGACCAGGGGACCTTGCTCTAGTTGCCTGTCCGATTTTTGTGATGTTTCGAACGTCTTCTCGTTGAGATCAGTCGGCTGCCCCACACCAAACTTGAAGTCACAGTTGTTGTATGCAATATTGACCACCCTTGTTGCCCCAAGGGTTTTATTGGTTTGTTTCTGGTTGTTGATAAGTGACTCACGTAAGTTCTCGATGGAAGTGGGCAAAACAGCAATCCCAATGTGTGCAGCCCACTGTCAGACGGACCTGGATGCGTTGGATGCTGCAAGGTAAAATGCATGCTTGGTCTGTAACACATTACATTTGTCATTGGAGCTGTGGATCAAGATGGAAAGGATGATGGTGGTCTTCTGTTAAGGGTAAGTCCTTGGCCTTAGGGAAATTGCTATAGTACTCACCACATCAAATAAATGACTATTTCTTACCGCAGTATTGCAGCGCTTGTGGTCATTGTCCCCAAATTGCTCCTCAAGTTCTCCCCCTACTTCAGTTGTCACCATGGCATCCCTGGTAATTCCATATTTTCTCTGTCTGCGCTGTTTTCCATCGGTGTTTAGTAGCTGATGTATGGCTTTCCATAAGATCGGTGCCTTCTGTTGGAAAGTAACCTTCAGCATGCTGATCCGGCTGGCCTCAAGCTGTTCTGCTCGCATCCTAGAGATGCTCATATGAAGCCCAGCAGCCTTATCTGAAAGGTCTTGCATTTCTTTCTCATACATCGACTGTACAATATCTAGAATCCATTCCTTGAGATCGGGATGTTGTCCTAGATCATTCTTAAGGTTCCGTCGGTAGTCGCTGTAGTGTGTTGAGGCACAAATTGTGATAAGCAAAGTAGAGAGTGAGATTCCCTCCCTACTCATGAAACTCAAGACCTTTTCAGTGCTGTTTAGGGCGCTAGTCATGGAGATTGAGGCTAAGTGGGCTCAAGAGGGATCGGGCAGCAAATTCGGCAAATGCCTAAGTGTACTGCCACTGCCAATGTGTACCAGTCGTTAGAGCGAAGTGTCGCGCGCAAATTTTCGGAGTAGGTGATCGGACTTGAGTTTATCCCCGTAGCATGTGACTCTTTGTATTGAAAGCAGAACGTGACTTTACATTGAATTCAAAAGTTACTTAGTTACATTTCCACATTGCAGTGCGCTGTGTGCGTCCATGGAGCGAAAACGACTGGGTACGAGTCTGGCACATGAGGTGGGCTTTCATCAAAGGCATCTTCCAGCTTCACTGGGCTCCAAGCACCATGAAGGGTGACTCCAGTTTGCACGTCGCTGTGGAAAAACTCAGACACAAACTCAACTCCAGTGACCCGGAGTTTTATCCAGCTGAAAGGCTTGTAGAAACTGTCCTTGCAACAATGACTCTTCATTATGCAAGGTATGATCCAGCTATTGTCAATCACTCTGACGTGTCAACCCCTTTTCTTTCTACAGAGCCGTCCTTCGTCAGAAAGAATCATCCCTCTTCATTTCCAACCTCAATCGCCCACCACACCTAATAGAAGAGCTTAATCTCCATTTGTCCCCTGGCCACTTTCTCCAGACTTGTACCTTTGATGAGCTACATGATGTGGCCCAAACCATTTTTGCAATGTTCACATCGACACAATCCACTTACATGGCACTTCATCAGGACACACAACATTCCATCCAATATTTCCAATGACACATTGATCCTGCACGCGATTCCCTCTACCCAATACCACAGGAGCCGAATGCTGTGGTGAGCTTGAGCCCTGACGACTCAGATGACAGCAGCGATGCTGATCATAATGGTGAGGATGGAGTATCATCTTTACCAGCTGGTCAGAGTCAACATCGCAGCAAGGACCACAAGAATCTGGATTGCTTTGATGATAGTGCCCCCCTAGATTCCCCAAACACAAACACGGGTGGTGATGTCCTCCTGTTCAACAACATACTTCTCTACCAGGACATGCTACTATACTGGGAATTTAGATCAAGTATAAAAGATAGTGACATTGGTCGAACTTTTGAGGTCATTAAGGTGCGTTGCATTGACCTTTCCTCATCTTTTCTATCCTTGATATATAATTAACAGTGGCTTCATGTCTGGTTCTTTGGGGCTGGTGCGACAAATTATGGTGAAGAGTTACTGCACCAAGCCCTCGATTTATGGTTTCATTTCACCGAAAAGATGAAGGATGCGGTTTTCAACAACTATGTCATTAGTCCATTGGGCGGGGGCGAGGGTTACGAACAAGATTTACTTCAAGAACACAACAACTTCTGGCTTAAGCGGGTCTTCAATGGTCGCCTGGCAAAATTCGATTCCAGTTTTCTACGTGAGGCTGTTGCACTGAACATTGTGCCACTGAAAGAACTTTGGCAGACAATCTTGCAAAAATTTGGCCTCAGCAACATATATTCTGGGTGCTCGAAGGCTGATATCCAGACAGACATCAACTACCTTGGCCACTCCTATCTTACACAGCAACACCATATTTACCAACCTGGCTGAGTCCAGTCGTTTTTGGCAATGGATGGTATCGAGCGAGGAACTGCAAAGCTCGAAGAGGGAGCATTGCAAAAGTTTCTACATAAGCACTTTTATCAAAAATGATTGTAAATATACAGAATCTATTTGATGATATTTCACTGTTTTGCATCTAGACTATACCTTGCACGCTCAGTGAGTTTGATCATGCATGGCCCTGTCACCATTTCCACCATTGATATATCTCAACTCGCATAGACTTGCGGTGTTTCTCCCTCTGTTCCTTTGCCTTTTCCCCCCTGCCATTCTGCAGCACCACCTTTCCCTGCTGCTTTCTTGGCCTTGTTTGTCAACTCACACCTCTGGTTTTGTGCTGCATACTGGTCATTCAACTTCTGGATAAGATCCCACAGTGTCTCCCGCTGGGACAGTGTCATGCGTGAGACTGTATTCATGCCTGCCAAGTAATTGGACAGCTTCGGCTCCATTGTGAAGGAATGTAGCTGTTCAGTCAGTTTTTTGACCTCCCCGTTACTCATGATATGACCCGGGGTAAAATTTTGTTGCAGTGATTCAGGATGCATGAACCAAGCACTGTGTTGCCAGGCAGTAAGCCGGGCCAGTGCGTTGGCTTTCTGTTCTTTGGAGAGCTCTTGAAAATTTTTCGGATGGTCTTTTGGTAGAGGCAGCATTGTCACTTTTGAGTTGGTTTTCCTGCATGCGCTTTCGGTGATGTAACTTTTCACCAGACCCTCATCACAATAGAGAGTATCGGGCTGACATGTTTCACAGCAGATAGCTGGCTTGCTGAATGCATCACCAAAATATGCACAGAAGACAGATCTTTGGCAGCCATCAGGAGGTGGATTAAAGAATGTGACGAGGCCTGGTGCAACCTTGGCCTGGTACTCCCGACGTGTGGCAACTTGTGTTTGTGTTAGAGGCTTCCGTTTTACTGATCCGCCAACATAAGTCCCATCCTTGGTCGATCCATCACACATCTCTGCTGTAATCTTCAGATCATCAGGCCCATAAACAACAAACATCCCACCACTACCATCCTGACTCGCCTGACCTGCCCACTGTGTCATCTCCTCGAAAGACTTTGGCAAGTCTACACACACCACATGCTGAACAGGTAGATTGAGTTCCACATTGGCACAAATGGTTGCAACAATATAATGGATTGTTCCAGCCACCAGCTGCAACCGTATCTTGCTGCGATCCTCCTTGTGTTCAGCATGGAATGGCCAGACGAGATCAGGTATGTCAATCTCCTCTGGTGCGACTTTGTGTAGTTCACGTATTAGCCATTCGCTGAATGTTGTTGTTTTCTCCACCATGTTAATGGCGAATATTGTTGGCATGAGATCGGATGGTGACTCGAGTTTTTGTGGGATAGCCCATGTGAAATCAGGAAATTTGAGTCCCTCGACAGAATGGTAACATATACAGGCACAATATTTAAGGTCAGCCTGATCTACTGGAAGTCTGACATCATTGAAGCTCATCCCATGGAAACCCAGTGTGAACTGAATTTCCAACTGAGCCTTCTGATTCACGGAACCAGACATGGCCAAGAATGGGACATTGGATCCAATGTGTGAGCGTACTTCTGCCAAAACTCTATATTTTGGTCGAAATTTATCCCAGTCCTTCACTAGGTGAACCTCATCTATTGCACAGAACCCTAATGTTTTCCGAAACTTGGGCATGTGAAGGAGTTTGGCAGCCATGCTTTCGGTAAGCATTTCAGGACTCATTCCTATCACATCCCACTGAAGATTCTGCACCTCATCCCACAGGTTTCGTTGATTTAATGCAAAGGCCTCAGCAATGGTCTCCGCGTTGATTGCCAAAAATCGAATATTCTTACTCCTTGCATTTGTCTCCTGGACTGGAATTTAGATGGTTTGTTCATGACTGCCCTGTAGATGTCATCCTTACCTGATCCGCCATCAATTCTACAGTGGGATAGACGATGATGGCAATGTGTGGCCTTTTCAATATCCGTCATGCAATCACCGGAACCATAGTCAACATCGATTTCCCGCTCCCTGTGCATGATGTGAGAAACACGTCCTTGTTCTGGCACAAGTGTATTGCATTTTCTATCGGCCATGGATGTGGCTCCACATGAAACCGGTTATGAAAAATTGCAGTCATCCATGGGATAGTCTCTGGTGTATATTCCTCCAATATTTTGCCAAGTTGCTCAATTGCATGTTTATACTGTGAATTTGGTTTGTCCCACAGTGTCTCATAGAAAATCGGTGGAGCAGTGTCAGGGCAATAGCCCCGAACCCCGAGTCATATGTAAATTAGATACATATAGTCACGTGGGTAAGCGGGAACCTCCGGGTAACTGCTTACACACCACCGTAAAATACACATACTTGTATCACTTATGGCTTTGTGTGCTGAGCTACCCAAAGACCTCACAAGCAGCCATTGAGCAGAATCTGTCAGTGCGTCAGGCAAAAGTTCAGGTGATTCAATCCAAAAGAGGCCAAAGGCACTTGCCGAATATATTGCTTAGTCATCTACTCACATAACCATGCTTATGTAACTGGACCCTTTTACAACAATTCAGTAGACCCTCAATTCAGTAACCCATCAAGTGAAATAAGACTAGCGCCAAGGGCACGGATCAAAAGATCTGACATTATGTACAAAGAGAGGAAGTAAAGCATATGGTTGCGTGGGTTCAGAATCTAGGTATTCCTACACCATTTCCGGAGGGGAGTGTACTTTCTATGTGTGTTACGGATGCTGGCTCCTCAAATTGTTGGCCAGATGTCAAAGCGTGCCTCTTGATGCTTTGGAGTATCGCGGTGAACAGGATAGTTGAAACGGCTCCTGAGAATGTTGGCCAGATGAACGCCTTTGTGCCTCTTGGTCTTTTGGAGAACCATGCTTCAGGAACAAGGGGAGCTAAAACCGTTATGCACCCACATGGGAGCCACCTGTTTTAGAAACCACCCAAGTTCGCAATTGGTGAAGAGGGAAAGAAAAGGCTGCCTGAGGATTCTGGTCGCTGTGAGCATGATGGTAGGAAAGTGGAAGATGGTGGAAAAAAGGTGGCACAGGAAGGTGAAAAAGGCCAATGCAGGATAACACAACATGTAAGTGCCATCCACACCATTATCCATCACAGCAAAGGAGAACCTCTTAGACCCAAAACCAGCTACCACATTGGGTGCCAGACCATGGCAAGGTTGTTGCAGTTATAGCACAGCCCATTCCATCTTTGGTCTATCCTCAAGCAGTCGAGGTCCATGGGCTGCAGTCCTCCTCCTGCTGCAGGGTGTGCTGCAGGGGGCAGCGGTGCAGCGGTGGCTGGGGGGCGTAGCAGTGGAGGAGCTGGGCATGCTTGCAGGAAGGTAGTAGGGAGCGGGGATCTCAC